CAGTCTGCTTCTGAGTCCCACACGTATTTCCTATCTTCCCCTGACCCTGGAGGGGAAGCCCACCCTGCCCTCCGTGGCCGACAGCCCCGCGCTTGTCTGCAGCCTGACCTTTGTGCACACCCGTTCTCTTAATTTCTGGGCGCACCTCCGAGGCCTCAGTTCTGGGCCTTCATCTCACTCCCGGGAGCCTCGCTGACCCAAGGCCCCGCCTCAGCTCTGCGGCCCTCTCTGTGCCCCCCTGTGCAGCTGGCCCACCAGCTCTCATCCGCGGGCTGCTGCCTGGTGCTTGCTGTCCTGTCCCTCCTCCACGGTCAGAACTCCCTGAGGGGAGAATGTATCTGCCGCCACGTGTTCCTGTGGTCGGCACAGCGCCCAGCACATCTTGGTGAATAAATGAAGTGCCTGGCACGTGGGAAAGCCCTGTGGGTGTGGATGCAATTTGAGTTAGTTCTAAACTCAGACAGGGAGAGTTTCTTTTAAATGACAAAAATCTATTCTTTTTTTCTCCTAATAATTTCTCCACCTAGATGTTTGGGAAAGTTGCCATGAGAGACAACAACCAGATCAACAGGAACAACAATTTCCAGACCTTTCCCCAGGCGGTGCTGCTGCTCTTCAGGTGACGGAGCCCTGCACGGGGCGTGGCTCTAGCTGTGGGCTGCAGAGTGACCGAGGACATGAGTTACTCACCAGCGTGGCCGTTCCCAGTTGGTCCCGGCGGCTTTCTGTGCTTGTTTGTTTTGTGTTCTTAAGCAGAGACACTAACCGTGCAGCCACAGGGGAGTGTTGCTGGCTTGTAGAAACTGCCGTGTTCATTTCGACTGTGGTGGTTTAAGGTTTATCCCTCTGGGAGTTAGTGGATCCACTCAGGGAACTGGAAGGAGATGAGCGTACGCGTGGGAGCACCCACTGAAACGCAACCAGGAAGACAGAGGTTTTGCAGGAGCACAGAAGCCTTTTGCACAGCCAGTGGGGGCACATCTTAAGATGTGGAATTTGACATTTTACAGGGTTGCTGTTAACCCCAGTTAATTAACTCTGCAAACAAGGGTGCCTCAAAGTGAGAGAACTTTCTAGAAACTATACAAATAATTGATAAGGACTTTGTGGCCAGATAGCAAGCCATTTGCAAGTTAGGCAGTTTCCAGTCCTTGGCTTTCAACAAGGTGAACGGGGTCTTATCAAGTTGTCAGATGTTAAGTCATTAATAGAGAATAATCGATAAAAACTTTAACATAAGGGTTTAAAGAAGAGAAGGCACAAAACCAAACATCTAATTTTACAAAAAGAATTGATGTGCTCGTATCAATTGATATAAATCAAAGGAATTATAGCAGCACCTCCACTTACACTGAAATAAATTGCATTGGAAAATAAATCGGAATTTCATATCTTCACTAATTCACACTGGCTTGTCGACAAATTCCTTAGGTGTTGCTGCAATGAGAAACTTTTTTTTTTCCTTAAAATGTTTTAGAGATCTGAGCCTCAAATCCCTCTGCGCCTACTAATAGCCCTTCCTTTGCTCGCTCTGAAAAAGGTGTGCGACCGGCGAGGCCTGGCAGGAGATCATGCTGGCCTGCCTCCCGGGGAAGCTCTGTGACCCCGAGTCGGATTACAACCCCGGGGAGGAGTACTCCTGTGGGAGCAACTTCGCCATCGTGTACTTCATCAGCTTTTACATGCTCTGCGCCTTCCTGGTACGTGAGCAGGAGGGCTCCCCTCTGAATCGGCAGGTGTGGTGTAGCATTGGGAATCAGACCAGGGACGGTGCCCGCCCGCCTGCTGGGGGTATTCCGTGCTGATGAGCAGCTCCCCCCACTTGGCAGGCTTGGCCGGTTTTTGTTTTAATTGTCAGTGGTAAGCCCCTTCCCTGTGAGCAGGGCCTCGGGGCTTTGTCACGGATTTGGGCAGCCCCACTGCTTGGGACCGCTGGTTTCTTTATAAAAATGTCACAGCCCATGCACAGAGCAGTGACTTAAGAGTGTGAGTTATTTGGTAGCAGTGAAATGATAACACTGTGGTGTGCTTCAAAGATCCAGATAATTCATCCCCCTGCCCGCCCCTGGGACTATACCAAAGCCACCCCGGGAAGCCAGAAGTCTGCTTCCTCGTTAACCGTTCTCCAGGCGGGGTTTCTCCAGCCTCTCTGGGGAAATGGGTTCCCGGGTTCCGTGCCCCTAAACTGAGGGAGCACCCCGCGGGTCGGCCCGATTCATGACTGCCCCTGAGGCTCCTCCTCTGATTTGCTTCCACAGATCATCAACCTGTTTGTGGCCGTCATCATGGACAACTTTGATTATCTGACCCGGGACTGGTCCATTCTGGGACCTCACCATTTAGACGAATTCAAAAGAATATGGTCAGAATATGACCCCGAGGCCAAGTAGGTTGGGAAGGATGCCCTGGCTGTTTGTGGGGGCTGTTTCTGGAACGGGGGCGTGGTGTGGGGAGGGGGCATGGACTGAAAGCTCAGCGCTGCTGCCGGGACCTCACGCTCCGCTTTGTCTCAGGGGGAGGATCAAGCATCTGGACGTGGTCACCCTGCTGCGCCGCATCCAGCCGCCCCTGGGGTTCGGGAAGCTGTGCCCACACAGAGTGGCCTGTAAGGTGAGTGTCCTCTTGGGTGTCTGACGGCCTCTCTTGCAGAGACTCCCTGGTTCATTCAGAAACCACTCAGTGACCTTCCCTCACACCTGCTGTCAGGCGCCCAGGATGCGGAGACGAATGACACCTGGTGCCCATCCTTGAGGCACTCCAGGAGTGTCACTCGTGGGACACCCTGTCAGCCAACGATAGGAATAGGAGGGCAGTTATGTCATTCGTCATTGGGTGAAGGCAGGAGACAGTGACCTTTGCATCAGGCACAGGGGGAGAGACGTGGGGGTTTGTCAGAGATGGAAGGAGCACAGAGAACCCTGACGCAGAGACAGAAAATGGGGCATCATTGGTACGACTGGAACAGAAGAGGAAGTGGTGGAAGGGCACAGGCGCACACGGTGTGGCTGTGAGGAACCTTCCAGGCCATGCTGAGTTCCAGGGAAGAAGCACGGGTGGACTTCTGTGTTAGAGGGAGAAGTAAATGGGGGCAGGGGACACCCGGGAGAGCTGTGGGGACTGTCTGGGTGTGAAGTGACAAGAGCCAGAGTGAGGGCAGTGGGAGGGGAAAGAGAGGAGGTGGCTGAGGGCTCCACTGAGGAAGTAGAGTGGAAAAGACCAGTCCCTGGGCGTTTCTAGCCTCTGTGCTGGTGGACGGGCACCGTGCCCCCTGCGCCAGCGCTCCTCTCCTGAGCACAGGCGGTGGCCGGGCATGGCTGCGTGCAGACCTCCCGATCCATTTCTGCAGCTCTCACCTCAGACCCTGCTCCCTGGGAGCCTGGCTGAGCTCACAGCGACTCACCTGGAGTCAGCTGCAGCAACAGAAAAGTAGTCCCTTTCTAAAAGGGAAATGCAGGGTTTGCCTGTGGAAAGTCTACCCTGTGGGAACCCAGCCAGCCTGCACTCCAGGGTTGCTGGGCCGGTTCTAGACAGACCCAAGGTAGCAGAGTCGAGTCTACTGTGTATTTCCAGCTTTCAGAGATTTTTCCAGCCACACCTGTCATTCCCTGCCCCGAAGCACCGAACACTTGCAGAAATCATGTGGACTCCACAAGGGTCGCCCCAGGGCAGGTCCTTAAAGGACTCTCTGTGTCAGGAATAGTCACGTACCCGTGCTGCAGTTGTTGGAGGACCTGAGTCCCCTGCCCTGTGCCTGGCTCGTACCTGGTACCACATTTTACCCTCACGGCACCCTGAAGGATGTGCCCAGAATGGAGGCCTGACCACAGGACATAGGGAGAGCTGGTTTTTGAGAAAGGGAGAAAAACACTGGCACAGTAAGATGATTAAACAATCAAGGTGAAACACCAAGAGCATCCCACGGGCCAGCATTTGTGTTTCATGACTAAAAGCTTTGATCTTTTGTTGTGTCAGAGCCCCAGCTGGTAGGTGCTCCTCAAATGGCTGGTGAGTTAAATTTGTAGGGTTGACTGGAAAAGAGATGAGGGAGAAACAGAATAACTATGGGAAAGGGCTGCAGCTGCCATCAGTCCTGCACATGCTGGTAAGAAGCTTCTCTTTCTGTTTGCAGAGACTAGTCGCCATGAACATGCCTCTCAACAGTGATGGGACAGTCATGTTTAATGCAACCCTGTTTGCTTTGGTCCGCACAGCTCTTAAGATCAAGACGGAAGGTGAGCATCCCCTGAGAGCAGGTCAGCGGGGAGAACTGGGAGGAGATGCCACCTCCCGCCTGTGTTCTCCCGTCTGGGCCTTTCCTTGTCGAGGGGAGGTCCTGGGAAGGGCGTGGGGAGTGCAGTGAGAACCTTTGTGCTGGCGGATGCACTGTTCCCACCTCCCTCATCCCTCCTTTCCTTCCTTTATGCTTCACTTTGTCTCTGGGAGTTTTGAGGCGACTCATGACACTGCTTGCTAGAGAGCAGCAATAGGTGGGAGATCAGGGCAGAGTCGGCACTGTCACCCCTGAGCTCCCTCCAACTGACCCTTCCTGCTTGTGTGACCTTTGTGAGGGGTTTTCCTGTTCTGAGCTGTAGGTTGTTTCTCTGTGGGAAGGAAAGGAACACACCTACATCAGGGGAAGTCCTGGGAATGAGGTGAGATGACGCCTGCAGAAGCCCCTCTGCAGTGCTGGGCCGTGGTGGGAAACACTATTACGACCAGCGTCTTCCCAGCTGAGACCAAAGCACACGGGTCTTCGGGGCCACGCTCAGCCCTGGTAGAATAAGCCTGGAGCGTGGCCACTGCTGTTGTCTCGGTGGCAGCTTCAGAGGTGGCATGGAAAGCAATTGCAGCAGGTGGAGGGGTGGCCATGAGGTGGAGAAGCAGAGACTGTGAGGGAGGAGGGGGGAGAGGGGCCAGCGGTGGACACTGCGGAGTCCGTGGGCAGCTGTTTTCCCGCTGCCCCGGAGCTCAGGGTGACTCTATCCAGCAAAGCCAGTCCCCACAAGCTCACGGGCTCCTGGCAGTGGGCTCCCCTGCCCCTGGCCCCCACCTGCATCAGCGAGGGATGCAGGAGGCGGGATGGCCTCTGCACTGACGTGTCCGTTGAGGAGACAAACATCAGCCCAGCTGATAAGACCAAGATGATGCGGGTGCTACGGATGAGTCCACACAATGGGAAATGAAAGTCTTATGTGGGTGGAATTTAGTCTGGGTCTTCCAGGACAGAGGCAGGATTCGGCATTCTAGGCTGGGAGCAGCGGGAAAGGTGTAGGTGTGGGCTTGGGAAGGTAGAACACGGATCCCAGAGTAAAACGTGGTCCTTCCTACGGTGGAGTGACTGCAGCTGTTAGGTCGTGTGAATGCCCCTGACCGGGGAGGCTGCGGGGAGGGGCACCCATCAGAGGGCCGTGCCGCCACCCGAGGGCCATGCTCCTACCCAGGTCAGCTGAGGGGGTGGGGGGGCGGCAGGGGGAGCAGCATGGTCCCAGCAGAGAGATGGCCGGCCAAGAAGCAAGGCTTGTTTTCTCCTCTTGCTCTGCATCCAGGGAACCTGGAACAAGCTAACGAAGAGCTGCGAGCTGTGATAAAGAAAATCTGGAAGAAAACCAGCATGAAGCTGCTTGACCAAGTTGTCCCTCCAGCTGGTGGTCAGTGCACTCTCTTTCCTAAGTAGCTCTTGGCCAACACGTGGGTTTCAGCGGTCGTGTCTGCCGCCAGCCCGGCTGCGGGTTGCTTTATGCATCAGCTAGGTCGCTGAGGCCAAGCGCTAAAGAAAGCCGCCGGCCCTCTGGCGTAGTTACTTGGGGTCATATGAGCAGCATTCCCAAGGAGCGGCCTCAGCGGGAGGGGAACCAGACAAGGTGGCTGGAGCTGGGCTTTTCTGCTGGGGGGAAGGGGGGGGGGAATTAAAGTTAGAGGGCAAGCCTGCTGCCTCAAAAGGAAAAATCTAGATTTTGGGGGGTCCAAAATGAAATATTTAAAGCTAGTTTCCATGTATCCTTTAACATAGTGTTGAAAGCTTCTCACAAAAAATTGATACCTGTCAGAAAATGGTATTTTCAAAATGCCCTTGTCAAGACTGAGTTTACTACCATAACTAGCCAAAAAAAGGTCCCTATCATTAGAATTTAAGTAGGGACAGAACTAACAGGCATGCTTTTTTCTTTCGTTATTTATCAAGAAATAACCGACTAAACTTTTTTCAGATTTATATATGTAAAGTTATACATATATAAAGTATATATATATAATTTATACACTGTTTTTCCACTTTCGTTTAAGTGCACATGGACTTAGAAATTGAGGTGGTTGTTTTTCGACTTTTCTTTTCACGTTTTAAAGGTGCAGGATCCGTTCAGGTCTGGACACTGACTCCAGGACCCCGGGCCAAAATGGTGGCCAATACCTCCCCCTCTGAGGGGGTGACAACCTCTAGCTCTTGGGGAGCGAGAGCGTTGTGCGGGCCCACTCTGACCCTCGGCATGAAGTGAGAAGCAGGACGAGCTGTTGTCACTGCCGGGGACACCCACAGCTAGCACGGTCATGGCTCAAAGCTGGGGAAAATGGCCCACAAAGGGGCAGCCAAAAGGCCCCCCAGACCAAAAAGAACAAAACCCTCAAACTCTCTGGCCGCCCCCCTTCCCCCGAGAACTGGTCCTGCACATTTGTCCGCGGGAGAACGGTTACTGTTGTCCACAGAACTGATGCTGCACATTTAAAACAACTCTTCCGTTTCCTCCTTTTCTTTAGAGCTGCACACCCAAGTGCTCGCATGGCTGAGGTTCATCGCTTTCTTAAAAATTGTCGTAACAATGTGCTTGAGCTTTTTTCTGCAGCCTCCATCCCTTTCCACGCTCAGTCTTTCAGAATATTCTGAAGCAATTCTGTTTTAGGGTGGTGGCATGGAATCAGAGTTATCTCTTGCCAGCTGTATTCCCCTACAATGTTTCTCGAAATACAGATGCATGCTTCAGAAACCCCTGAAACACCACCTTCATTACAGACTAGTCTCACGCACATGTCAGGGCCCATCCTGGCTAGACCCCCTTGGACAGCATCCCGTGAAACTTCATTTCTTTTCATGTGACTTAGAAAAAAGTCCAGAATTTGGCTCAGGATCTAAGCTCCCTTCCTTTGAAAAAACTGACCAGCTTTTAGTTCTACTAGACGTCTCCTAAAAGCTACGTATTCTCCCGCATTCTTGGCCCAATGACGGGCCTTGGATTTTTCTCTGTATCTCGTTAAATGGGGTGGGTGTTAATCTATTTCAAAATGGCATTAGGTGGCACTGTGAAACCGGAAAGTAGAAAAGAGGGCTTCAGGAGGAGATGGGGTCCCCCAGACGCCCCGTGTCATGGCTTGTGTATGTGCTGGGATAATGTTGTCGGGCTGAGTCTCAGATAAGCGCTGCTGCCACTGCAGACGGTGGAAAGGCCTGGGTGTCTGGCTGCGGTGAGCAGACCCTGATGAGGTGCTGGGCAGCATTCTAATTCTGTCTCTTTGTTTTTGAGTCTTTCCCATGCCAGTCGGTGAGTGGTTCCCGCCTTTCCCTCGCCATGGCACACATAGAAAGCGAGAATATTCGTTCAGTCCTCCAGGCCAGCAAGTGGGTAGCTCCCACGGCTGAGGGGCTCAGTGTCCTCCCTGCTATAACCTCGCAGAGAGCAGCAGACTGAGCCAGGCAGCTGTCCCTGCACCAGGACTGGCCGATGTGGGGTGGTCAGAGAGGCCCTTACAGACCTGGTGACAGCAGGTGCCCATCTCAGGAGGAGTTGCTGGCACAGTGTGATGTGAGGTGCCCAGGCTGTCATGAGCTTGATAGGAAGGGGCCCCTCAGGACGGAGCCCTGGAATACCAGCTGGGACCTGTTCTGTGCGGGAGGCTGTGGCTGGGAGGCAGCCTGCCTGCTGTCTCCGTCATAAGGCTGACGTCTCATGGCCCATCACTGACCCTTGCTCACGTTCTCCCCTCCACTCTTGTCATGCATTTCCTGGGTCCTCCCCTCCAAGAGGCTCTCCTTGCTTTGGGCCTTCGCTCCTTGACCTGGCTCTTGGGCCCCTTTTCCCTAAAGAGCACTCAGGGCCGGCCCCACCCCTTTCTCTCTAGTCCTGAGCCCAGACACCCTCCCTGCATTCTTTCCATGTCTTCCTTCCCTTCCTGTCCTGCTATGGCCAGGAGAGGGGAATGTCTGGCCCCGGGCCATATAAGGCCCAGGAAATCAGTTGCTCTGGCCCTGCGTTAGGAGTGAGTTAGTTAAATGTTTGACCAAATATGGCAGGCTAATTTTTAAGCTGATAATTCGTGTGGCCTGCGAATGATGCTGTAAATATCCAAATGGCCCTCGGCAGAAGAAAGGTTCCCCACCCTGTGCTATGGCTTTCACTCTCCTGTTTTTAAGAGCCCTTCCTGGGCTCAGTCTCAGTGGAGCAGCCCACGTGGCCCTTGCACCCTGCCCTGCAGAGCCCTGGGTGGCTGTGCTCTGCTCCATGTGGCCCCTCAGGGAGAAACACGTCAGCTTTTCCCCAAGGACACTGTGGCCTGGCTCCAGGCCCGGGGAAGCCCAGACCCCCCTGCAGGAACCCCTGGACCCCTCCAGGCTCGCACAGTCCAAGCTGAAGGGAGGTGAGGGTAGGCCTGTGTGTGCTGGGGCATCCCGGTGTGGCAGGAGGAGGTCTTCTGTGGAGAGAGAGGCATTTCTCTGCAAGCCCCCAGGGAAGGCTTGGGAGTCTGGACTGAGAGGCCGCTGTGGTGCAGCAGGCGGAGAATCCCCCGGGACCCCCGGGATCTCTACGCAGTCAGCAGTGGGTTCCCCCCGAGATTGCAGCCCCGTAGTGAGAGACTTGTACTCTGGGAGAGGCCGCCCCACAGAAGAAGGTGGCCTGTGGGGCTGGAGCTAGGCCGTCCCTCAGGGCGGTGGTGCAGGCGAAGAGGAGAGCTGGCTTGGCACTCATGTCCCAACCTGACTGGCCTGGGGCAAGTCCTTCAACCTTCTCAGCTGTCAGCGCGAGGGAGCAGACCCACCAGCAGACCCACCATCTCAGAGTTGTCGGGCCACAGTACGGGCAACCCGAGTGGAGCTCCCTGACTCAGGGCTTGGTACCTGTAGGTGCCCAATAGGAGGGGTGGCTGGAACTGGTGTCCAAACAGCCCCAGGCAAAACAGAGAGCAGCTCAAGGGCAAAGGTTGAAATGTGAAGACCCGCATGGTCTCTCTTCACCTCTCGCCTCCTTGCCCGTGAGGGCATCGCTAGACCAGCCTGAGACAGGTGAGGGACCACGGTTTCACATGCTGCACAAGCCTGGGTTCACGTTGGTGGCCCCTGCACCCTTCCAGACTTGCCCAGCTTGGGTTTGGAAGGAATGCAACACGTCCTCGAAGTCCAACCACTCCAAGCATCTTCTCTCACAGTAACACTGAATAGCTCTTGACCAGGGAGTTTGGAGAGGCAGCCCTGGATGGCCCAGCAGTGTCCAGACCAGGGGTCCTCAAACTACGGCCCGCGGGCCACATGCAAATACAAATATTGTATTTGTTCCCGTTTTGTTTTTTTACTTCAAAATAAGATATGTGCAGTGTGCATAGGAATTTGTTCATAGTTTTTTTTAAAACTATAGTCCGGCCCTCCAACGGTCTGAGGGACAGTGAACTGGCCCCCTGTTTAAAGAGTTTGAGGATCCCTGGTCCAGACAGAGACATCTCCCACATGGGCGCTAAATGAACCCCAGCCACGGTGCGTTAGGGAACACAGTGGGCCTCAGTGTCCCCCAACCTGTGTGCTCTACGATCTATTTTAGTGGATCTGACTGTTAGTGGGTGTGAGATGATAGTGATTCCCGTGGCTCAGTCATCCAGCCCCCAGAATGAGGGCCACCCCAGCAGGGGGCTGCGTACTTCACATGCCTCTCCTCCTGTGGTCATCACAGATCCTCTAAGAGACATAGCTCCTTTTATACATAGAGGTTGAGCTCCTGGCCCCAGATCACATGAAACTCTTACAAGGGCAGCCTGGCCAAAGGTTTAGCTTTGCTAAAGCCTGAGCGCTAGCAACCATTCCACCCCCAGCCTCTGCAAATCATGGTCAGCGGTGCGTGCCCACAGGAACCCTGGGCACACCGCAACCGGGGGGAGCAGGGCTTGTGGAGATCCTGGGACACACGCACACTGCCAAGGTGGTTTACCCGAGACAGCCAGAGCCTCTATTCTGCCTCATGCATCACCTGTAAAATGCTCAGCAGAGCTCCAGTTGTTTCTGAACAAAGCAGAAGTAAGTCAGCTCCACCATGAGGTTAGTTGGCGCTGTCACTTACAGCACCTCCCACCTCCACCCCCCCAAAAAAAACCACACACACACACACACCACAACTAGTTCTGAATTACAGACCAAGAAATGGCATATGGAGGCTATTGGCAGAGTCAAGGGGCACATGAAAATCTGGGTTTGCAGTCACTTTAATGAACCTTCCTCTTCTTCTGAGCTTGTCTGTCCCCTTTCTGAGGTCTCTGTCTTTATCTCCAGGCATCGGGATTTGAATGGTTAATTGCCCTTGGCGTCCATGGTAATTACACATGCAAATCCCTGTGCACAGGGGTGAAAATATGACCTAGGAAAGCCTTTTTTTGTTGTGTAATTTTTATTTTTAAGTAAATAACCAAGACAGCACTTGATAATGTTACTAATACGCTGCTCTATTAAACTCATGACAAATGTTATTTTCTGCAATTTTGAGCGTCAGTTTATCTAACTGACTCTAACTTTGAGCCTTAACTGCTTTGCCGAACCCTGCTTTTTGCTAGAGCTAGTCTCCCTCCTGTGTTCTAAGCCGAGAGCTCAGTGCCTCTGCGCTGCCCCCCGCCCCACCCAGAGGCCAGTGTGTAGGCTCTTGGTGCAAATGTGCTGATTCGGGAGAGCTGTGTCTGGTCTCTCCGTTTAGATGATGAGGTAACCGTGGGGAAGTTCTATGCCACTTTCCTGATACAGGACTACTTTAGGAAATTCAAGAAACGGAAAGAACAAGGACTGGTGGGAAAATACCCTGCGAAGAACACCACCATTGCCCTACAGGTGAATTGTTGTTTTGTTGTCTTCTCTTTTCACTAACCACTTTACGAGCTTGTTTGAAACATTAGAGAGCTGACAGTTCATGGTTGAGCAGTACCCCAAGGATTTGTTTAAACTGAGATACTGCACACGCCCTAAAATGTGGACTAGCCATTTCCGGGCCACCAGGTAAGTGCCTCCGTCTCCTTGCTTCCTCTGGCGACTGCTGCGGCCTGTGGCACAGGAACCCCAGGACAGCCCTGGGAGAGGGGAGCGAGCACTACCCTTGCGCCTCTCTCCTCCAGGCTTCTCCCAAGGCAGTGCCCTCCCAGCAGGCACCCACCCACCCCAAGCCCTGGGCTCCAGCCCTGGCTGCCCAGGAAACAGCTTTCCATCTGAACGCAAGTGCTTTGTTTTGTTTCTGTTTGTTTCTTACCCCACTGCTTGTTGGTTTTTGGTCCATTTCAGTAACATCCATCACCTCCTGGTGTGTGTGTGTGTGTGTGTGCGCGCGCGCGTGTGCATATGCATTTGTGTGTGTGTGTACATGTGTGCGTATGCCTGCGGTGTGTCTGTTTCTCTGTGTTGTCTCTTGATGGCCGTGAGGCTTGCTGTGCTAATGCTGCTCTCTCCCACCTGGCCAGCCTCTGGTCCCTACCCCTAAACCATGGCCCTGCCCTGGGCTCCTAGAGTGTGGAGGTTGCTTTCAGGAACCTCAGGTTCCATCCAGGGTGTGAGGATACGGAATCCTCGGTGAGCCCAGAGCTCTGGGATGGGAAGCAGGAGTGCAGGCGAAGGGAGTCCCAGTGGAGACCCGCACACAGGGGCCAGGAAGGGGACTCGTGAGTGCTGGTGGTGAAGGATGCAGGGTGAAGAGGGGAAGAGAAAAAGATGCTAAGAACTGGAAAAAGGGAACTAGAGAGGTTGGCGAGTTGTCAGAAACAGCTGTTTAAATTAATCGAAAGCCCTGTCATCTCTGCTACCCACAGTGCTTTGAGTCCATCGCGAATAGGATAAAGGATTTTTCCCTTTTTAGTTTACTCTAAAATTACTTTTCTGTCCCTGTTATCACCATGTCTTAAATTGGGCCTAGCAGTTATGAGTAAGGATCAATGTGAAATAATCCTGCACTTTTTTTTTTCTGGCGAAAAATGCCCAGTATTGACTGTGTTCACAGTGATGGCCAGTACTGAAGCGAAGGCTTGTGTGTGCTCTCTCTGAGCAAGGGAATATGAACATGAATGATGATGAAAGAGTGAATGAAGGGATGAGGGGTGCATATACATATGTTGGGTTAGTAGATGACCTTATGTGACCGTGACCTGCTGATTCATGATAAAAACCTCTGCTCTACCCAGACAGCTGCAGGGTTGGAGGGAGGGGAAGGGATCAGCTGAATCCAACTGTAGGCTTCTGATCTTCCTTTCTCTGATCACATCTCCTAAAGGCAGCTCGGTGGACCACAGGCTCAGGCATGTGGCTCATTGCTGTGTCAGGTTGTAGATTTGGTGAGCAAAGCGCTTTCACCTCTGGCTGATCCAGTTTGCAAAGGCAACAGCCCTTTGATCACAGTTCCTACGGAGCCTTAGACGAAGCAAACTGAAAAGTGTCCCTTTGACCTTATCTTGGGCCCACACGTTCTTGAGGGTAGTGTGGCCAAATTGGATGCAAAGAGAGGGGGTGACGAACATGTTTTTGATGGCTCTTCCTGAAAGGAGCCTTGGGCCTGGAGGGCGAGGCCAGCCCGGTGTCAGAGTGCCCCGGTGCCCTCTGCTCGTGGGACCTGCTTGGTGTGCTCAGGGTCTAGTTGGTGGGGTCGATGGAATTCGTTGACTTTTTCTGGAGGGGGAAATGTACTCTTTCATGGATAGCTGTGTCGTAATTTACAATCAGGTTAGCTCTGTATTATGAGGCCCCTCTATTTATTTTCTGTGGAAGGCATGGGTGATGACCACCTCGATACAGAGTTATACCTTTGAGTCCCCAAAACTTCCCAATTCGATGGCTTCAGGGCTTGCTCTGTTGCCTGGATATAGTCTTTTGATATTTTAAAACCTGAAAAGAACACATAGCTAAACAATTTTCACATTTCACAAATGGGCTCCACAGAGTCTTCAAGCTGAAGGTTCAAAGCTGCCTTTTTAAACCATGGGTTAAAAGACTCTATTACATGGTACTACAGTAATGCTGAGATGTGTCCCTCCCCCCCCCCAAACATTTATCATTTTGTTGTGTATGGAAAGAGTTTCATTTCCTTGGTGAAATGCAAATATTTCCAGTTAGGTGGTAATATCAACACATTTCATATGGTTCCGGTGGGAGTTGATGTTGAGTGCACAGCCTAGAAAAAATTAAGTTGTGTTCATAACCTCGACAGATAAATTCTGAAAATGCATTTGGTTCTGAAGCAAGCATCAAAAGTGGAAAAATTTTGTCTCCTTGGAGGACAATCCTAATTACATTTTTGGCTTCCTCTGCTCTAAAAATGGCTTTCGATGTGATTTGTCACTCTTTTAATCAGCCATGGGAGGCCCTTCCTTCCGGCATGACAAAGGGTAGGTGATGGTGTCGCAGTTAGGGAAACGCGGTCCAGTGGCAATGGGAGAACCACACCAACAGTGTCACTAGGACGAGCACACAGGTCCTCCAGGAAGCATCGGAAGGGGGCATGGCATATTGAGAGGTGGGGTGGCTTGCCTCTCCCTGTGCCAGGGTGCCACACGGCTGACCGATTGCTAGTGGCAGTGGAGTGTGGGCATAGGCATGTGCGTGCTTGTGCTGCGTCGAGTGCCGTCTGTCTGAAGAGCCTCAGAACTGGTCCATGTTCTGAGCCCCTCCCCCATGGGACGGTTTTCAAGGACACACAGAGGCACTATGGTCTCCAGCCCTGTGGGCTCCATCTGGGCTCCCCGTGTTCAGACCAACGGCAGTGTCCCCGTCTTCGCGAAGAGGAATGGCTTGAGGAGCTCCCACGTCCACGTGTGGGCAGGAGCTCAGCCCCCGGTGTCCTCTGGCCTCTGTGGTCTGAATGAGTGTGCAGTTTCCATCTGTCCATCCATCATCATCATCACGAAAGCCAGCCTTCTCTCCAGCACCTCTCCAGAGGGAGCTGGAGAGAAGCCGCCTCAGGCCTTTTGTGTTCTCACTCATCCCCTCCATGCCACGCTCACTTTAGTTTGACTCAGCATTTGCTCTTCATCCATCGTTGCCGCATCCGAGGGACCTGCATGTTTCCACGAGGAGCACGTAAATAAAGGAACAGAGCTCTGCGGCCGTGAGAAATGTGCCCCCTCCCAGCAACTAGTAGCGCCCCATCAGACCTTCCAGACGAGGGTCCTGGACACACGTTTGTCCAGTGTCTTGTGGAAAGGGGAAAAAAGACCCCAAAGTGGGAAAAGTTTTGTTCATTTCCTTTTCTTTCAACATTCAAGCATTTCCTTTATGCAAAAGACGCTCTAGTGCAGTCTGAGGAGAGACTGTCCCTGGCTCATTGTAATGACAGGACGACTGTAGGGGGATAGTCTTTTCTTTGTTTTTAACCCTTTGGGCTTGAGAAGGAGACCAGTATTTCCAGCTGGTAAAGAGCCCTGTGGTCAGGTATTAGAATGTTGGAGTCTGTACCCCAAGCCAACAGATGGTGATGTGGAAAGGTGGGGGGTACAAAAGAAGCAATGCCGCTTCTCCCCTGATGGACCTTGATCCGGCTTCCGCGGGAGGCTGGCGCATCCACGCAGAGGAAAGTGGCATGTGCAGCAGACGTGTTGTCTGTGGAGTACAGACTCCTGTTTCTAAGTCACCATCGTCTAAAAAGGAGCAAGCTTTTTTATTGTTTTTTTAAAGCATGATTCCACCCAGAGCCGTAAGGCTTTTCCTTTCCTTTCTTTTTTAATCTGCAAGGAGAGCAGGTGCTAACAGATGGGATTTCACTGGCTGATTCATTTGTTTCAGATGCTTGAACGGATGCTTTAGAGTTTTCTGCCTGAGCTACAGCACCAAGCTCGTTAGTCGGAAGGCGTTGGTGGCTGAGGCCTTGCAAGGGAAAAGTCTCAAGTGGGCTTATTTCTACTGAAACCGCATTTCGGGAGAAATGCAGGAAAAAGCAAACCCAAGGCCCCAGGGAGACCCCTTCCAAGCCAAGCAGTCCTGCAGAAGGCGGAAGCAGGGCCGCGGCCAGCTGCGGAGCCATGGCCTCCTGTCGCGGACGCTGCTCACGGTGGCTCTTTTTCGTGGAAGGGAACATGCGAGGCTTAACCGGTTTCCCTTCCAAACAGAGACTCAGAGAAAGGGAACGAGGGAGAGAGCAAAAGAGGGGTCAGCCGCCCCACAGAGAAATGAAATGAACACAACTTCCTGATGCTGGCCAGTAAAAAAAAAATTTTTTCAAATAATAAAAAGATTAAGTAGACTTGCCTAAGGTGGGCAGCTGACTCTGTTCCAAAGTCCTGCATCCCTAGTTTGCCCGGATTCCCAAAGACTGGCAGGCCCCTGGGCGCTGAGCTGGCAGAGTTCCTTTTGTATGGCAGTCAGGCCTGACCTGACCGTCGGCCGCATTCTCTGCAGTGACCCGGGCAGGACAGGAAGCTCAGACACACCCATTTAACTAACACATACACCCGCATGCCCAGACCAACCCAGGCAGCACCTCAGGTTCCATCTTAACGTGTCCACGGGAAGCACCACCACACCCCAACCTCATCCGACATTGTCCGTCTGTAGTCCGTGCTCAAAGCCAGTCCGGGGCTGCCTCTTTGGAAGCGGTGCGGTCTAGTTTCGAGGACACTGGGAGTCAGGGAACCTGGGCTCGAGTCCCAGCTCCAGCATTCGGTTGCTGCGTGACCTTGGGCAAGACACTTAACCTCTCTGTGCCTCAGTTTCCCCATCTGTAAAATGGGGATAACAATGTCGACCTACCTCACAGGGCTGTTGTGAGGAATAGCTAAGTGATTGTAAAGCACTTTGAACGTATCATTGCTTATTATTAAGACTACAACAATAATAATATCCTATGCCTGTTTGCTACCAGA